GTAATTTGTAGAGAGTATTTTGGAGGCAACAAAGGCATTGGCAGCTTCTGTATAGTGAACTCCATCCCAGCTAATGTATCCAGACCCTTCCTTGCACACTTCATAACCAGCTTGCCCACACTTGATGTCCGCATTGTAGTTGTATGGCGGTCCACCATGGCCACAACATGCCATTAGAGGGGTTCTCAAATCCTGTCATTTGTATGCACACAAATCAGTTATCTATTGTAACCCCCCCATCACTATTGATCATCAATGGCTGGAAATCAAAGTCTTTATCATGATATTTCTGCTGGTGTACCATTATTACGAGACAGAAAATGAAATTTTCAATACTCACCGTATATAGCAGAATGGGCAATGAGGTCATACTTAATTGCATAAACATCGACGTACACAATAGTAGCATTCTTCATTTCGGATCTCAGTTGTTCGCATAGTTCCCTTAATTTTTCGTTAAATAATTGTGCACCTTCATTCAGACTCTGTAGACATCCATGCTTATCAAAAATCCTTGCATTTTCATTGCTTGTGGCAAGTTTTTGAGGCAAACAACCCAATGGCCCGGTGTTGTGTACCCAGAAATTCTTCCCACCATGTTGATACAGGCTCTAAATTTGAAAGGAGGAAGAATCAAAAAGAGTCTTGAAAATCACAGCTTATTTTCAATTAAGAATATAACATGACTACATGAATGAAATAATCAGAGGGGAATTTCCTTCTAGGGAAGTGAAAAGACTAACCCAGATAGCATCTTTAATTTCGGAGATGAAAGAAGGGATTTGTTCGGTAACTTGCACAAATGAAAGGTGACCAAATGCCGCAGATAGATCATTTTGTCCAATGTCTATGGTGTAAAGAGCGTTCTTGAAATCCTCATCCCCAACCAAATATTTGACACCTATTGAATTTTTTTATAACTATTATGAAATTTTCCTGAAGATTGTTCTACAATATCGTTCAAAAATCATACCTTTAGATACAAACTCGAGGGAGCGGTTGTGGAATCGATTGAACTGAAGAATTTGAACATCCAGACTGAATAGAACAGATCTAGGAAGAGTTGATGAACCACTTATCGCAAAATTAGCTCCATTAGTAAAGTTTTGTCCTGACGATTCCAGATATGGAGTCAAATAATTAGAGTTCAAACTTTCGCCTGCGAAGAAACAGAAAGTAATCATGAGATCACAAAAATAAATAAAAAAACATTCATACAATGTTTCCCTTGTAATTTTTACATCCAAGGATTTATTTTTTAGGTTATGATTATGAAGGTCACAAAAACGCATATCTCCAGATGCTTGGAATGACAATGCATGTGGAATACATTTCCCACGATGCAGAGAAGTAAACAGAGTAACCAACTCTAAATCAAAATGACAATCGTCGTGGCATCACTAATGAAGGCACTGTCACAACATTTACTTTTGGGAAAGGTCCTGAAAGAACTCTGACGATAACGGTGGGTGACAAGTTGGCAAAGGAATTCAAACTTGACAGTACTTGCTTTTGCATCAATAAACTTATGTATTAGCATGTCAATGGTGGGAATTAGTTGACAAAACTCCATAGACATAGATCCCACAAGCTGGAGAATTTGTGACTCATTCAAAAACACGAAATTACAAAGCGGAAACAGATGATATATGCCCAAATGACTCCGAAACACAAGTGAGAATGAATTGCTGCATGTTCAAGAAGCGGTCTGAATGTTATATCTGAGATTTGCCAATCTCTGCACCAAGTAAAACCAAATTCATTGCCCAAAAGATGAAAAAGTTAGATGATTCACAAGACCATAACCCAGAGTAGTGTAACTTTACAAGCCTGGTGGTAAAAACCATGTAGAAACATGGGAGGGAAATAAACAATATTTAGCTAATCAACTTACATAGGTAATCAATGACTAATCGTCCATCACACCAACGTCCTGCTGACTGATGGTAGAAGTTACGCCCCTCTGGAGGTCCGAAGATCATTCCATGTGCAGCAGCATAACCTCCAGTGTCGGAGTTGGAGTCACCAAAGTTGAAAATGACCGGATTTCTATTGCACTGAGAATGAACAAAAAGAGGAAGGGAAAGATCAAGAATAATAAGAAATGTGAGGGGAGGAAGAAGATTGGGTCTTTCCTTCACATCCATGCTTATCCTGCTTTAATTTGTTTCTAATCTATATATATAACTGCAACTATATAGTGATGACAGTAAGAGAAACATTGCCTACACGCAAAGGGCATTAATTTGTAATTTTAGAGAGTAATGATGACAGATGAGAATTATTTAGACATTTATTATTCTCACATGTGATTCGAACAGGTGATTTACATCATAGCAAATTTGGTAGGAGCCAGGAGGCCATACAAAATCACAAATAGATGGAACAAGCCCATTACTTGGATGAATTCCTCACAATCCTTGAAATTTTTTTCTTGATCTCAACTAATGTGTCATTCATTGCCTTTCGACTTTACCTTAACTAAGTTTTCCTGCACAAGGACAATTTATATCGAATCTGATGTTAAAAGCTTACCACATAACTATGGTCTATACATGTTGAAAGCTTACTACATCATGCAGCTTTGGCAACATTTGTTAAATCCTGCAAATGCTTGCGGACAATTGTCATGAAAATCCTTCATCTTGGATTGGTTGAGCTCTTGATCCTTCAATAAATGGTTCTGCAGCATCATTGGGAAACCTAAGACACACAACGTGTTCAAGGACAGTGTCTGTTTTGCTTCATGGAGCAAAGTTTAATGAAACTAATTCAATGGCCTGTATTTGTGTATCTTAACTTTTGTTCCTACCATAGTGATGCATTCCTGAATGAATGGAAGAATGTCCCAGAAAGATCAAATACATGGGCAAGATATAATGTACTAATTTTAAATGAGTAACAAACACCTAACCCAGAAACGATGATGAAAAATTTTAGTGAGAACTCCTCAAAAAAAATAGATTAATAATATTTGCAAATGAAAATGGGAATAATTAACTGATCAAATGAACCAGCCAGATTATTTTGTTTGATCTTGATTCTATAAATTTCAATCCTTTTAAATACTCATTCCCCAACCCAATTGGAATGTAGATGAAAAAGATTATTAGAATTCAATTTTTTCTTTAACCAGAAAGATATGCTTCAAGTAGTCTTCAACCCATCAACGAAAGCTAAAGCAATGTTATCCTCTAACCCCTTTTGACACTAGCAGAGAGAAGATACAAGCATAGAAACTGAAACATATATTATAGCTAGCAGGTTGAGGAAAGGGGAAAAATAAAAGAAAGAAATATCAAAAGAGAACCAACCAGATTTGAAATAAGGAGCCAAAAATCGGGATAGTGCATACAGATAACGGTACAGAAACTTACGAGGAAGCAAAATTATTCATAAGCTATCAGTAACAAAAGTAACTAAACTCGATTTGAGGTTTAGAGTAATTTGTAGAAAGTATCTTCGAGGCCACGATTGCGTTGGCAGCTTCCGTGTAGTGAACTCCATCCCAACTTATGTTCTGAGCCCATTCCTTGCAGACATGATAACCTGTTTGGCCACATGAAGTGTTAGGATTGTAGTTGTATGGCGGCCCACCATAGCTGCAAAAGCCATCAAAGGATTCTCAAAACCTGTCAGTCAATTAAACCCTCAAATCATCATTGACAACTTAGTTTTAGACTCAACTGTGTTCATGGGGATAATTCATAAAATTTCAAAACTCACACCATATATAGCAGAATTGGCAAATGAGATCGTTCTTAATGGCGTATATATCCAAATATACAATTGTGGCATTCTTCATTTCAGACCGCAGTTTGTCACACATGGCACTTAATTCATTGTTAAATGCAATTGCACCTTGATTAAGAGACTGCAAGCGTCCATACTGATCGACATCACTAGAATTCATGCTTCTTGTGGCAAGTTTCTGAGGCAAACATCCCAATGGCCCGGTATTGTGTACCCAAAAATTCCCCCCACCATGTTGATGTATGCTCTACATTAGATTTGAAAAGGAAATCACTACAAAATATCAAAGGCACAACACAATATGATTAAGAATGTGAAAAGAGAATAGATCCAATAGAATGATTAAACATCTCTAACAATGACAAGAAAGACGAGAACAAATCCAATTAACAGTGAGAAGAAAAAACTTACTCACATTGCATCTTTAATTTCAGAGATGAAAGAAGGGATTATATGTAATATCATCACTAAATGTCGTACCTTTAGATGTTAGATAAAGGGAGCGAGTTTGGAACATAATGAATTGAAGATCCGAATATCCAAGCTAAACGGAACATATCTAGGGAGAGTAGGCGAACCACTTGTTGCAAAATTAGCTCCATTAGTGAAGTCTGATCCCAAAGATTGTAGCTATGGACTCAAAAAACTAATATGCAAGCTTTCGCCTGTTAAAAACACAAATTGTCATACGATGAAAAAATAACATCGACTGATGGTATTGTTTGAACTTTGAACCTCGTACCTGGAAAAATGTAGAGTAGATGGATGCATGCAAAGTGCAAATTTTCATGCCAGATAGTATAATGTGTCTTTTTCTTTATATATATATATATATATATATATAATAATTTGTCCCCACACGGCATGTATTAAGTAAGTGACAGGGGGACCCATTGGTAGATGGAATGCATTTTCCTCATGTTTCCTTTCTCTCTCTAACGAGGAGCACTTCGTTTTAGTTGTGATGGTACCGTGTTATTGTGGATATCTATTTTTGATTGAAGCAAAAAGATTAATCAAGATGTGCATATTCGAACACTATAATGCCACCGTATACAAATGAAAGCAGACCAACTAATAACCAACCACAAATGCAGTGGCTGTCAAAACCCTCACTACGGGTTTTGTGTTAGAATTTCGACTTTGTACCACTCAGTGTGAGCCTGCTTGTTACTTACCAGATAGATAGGAAGATTATTGAGCTACTCTACTCTCAATTATGTCCTGTTGGATTTTTATGGATTGATTTTTATTCCACACAATGTAATGTAATGTTGCTGCATGCATCACTGATTGGTTTTGGTCAATTTATGAGCAAAAGTTTTTGAGTTCCTCCCACTGTGAATATAGTTTTGATATGTGATTAATGGAAGAGTTAACCATTAATTACATTTGAAATGAAAGAATGTTTATTTGTACACCGAGATCGTCTTGTAAAATACATGGAATTTATCCCACCCTTTATTGTCAGCTCTATGCTCATTTCCACCCCCAACATTATTGAAAAATATTCACTAAAAAGTTAAAATTGACTTTATTAAAATGAATAAATATAATATTGAAAAATTTAAATGTCAAGTGATTAGATAAGCGACATACATGAAAGAACTTAATTGAAAGAGACTATTTAAATTATTAGAAATTCTGAAAAAATAATATTTATAAATAAAGACTTCTCCAAGTCTATCTTCTAAAATTTGATTATTATAGATTACATCAAGTATAAGTGGTGTTTCAACACAGTATACACAATGCAAACACATAGACCAACTACCTAAAACGAACAATACTTGGAGAAGGAATATTAATTGCATATGGGTGTACCCTCCTTTAAAGTTTAGTTTAGTTTAGGGTGGATGATGGTTATCAATAAAAATTAAATTAAATTAAATTAATTGATGAGGGTATATTTGGCAAAATTACAAGAAATTCAGTTTAATATTACAACCATAAAATATATCACCTAAAATGGACGCAAATAATAGAATGTTATTTTATAAATTAAGTTTGGGGAAATTTTTCTTTAATCAGATTCATACTTTGGTTGAAGCACTTCCAGAAAAAAAAAAAACAGAGAGGGGTCGGTTGAAAAGCCGTACAATTCGTTGATATAAATAGTAGCCACATTCTACGTTAGGGAAGGACAGCTCCTTTTTCGAATTTGAAAGAGGAGGAGAAGGAGGAGAGATCTCTGTTTCGTTCGCTCTTTTATCCGCAATTTCGCTTTTTCTTCCGTCAGGTAAAATTATGTTGTTTCTCTTCAATCTCTCTGTATTTTGATTATGTTTTCTTGGATTAGAGTTTCGGTTGGAATTTGAGAACCCTTGATAGATGTGCATCTCTATGTTTGAGATGGTGTGCAATATTTACTACTCTTGAGGAATTTTTGTTACTTGAGGTTCGATCTTACTTTTTTAACATGTTCTTATGGATGTATGATCTAGATCTATTCATCTGAGAGGTTTGCGTGGTTGATCTGATTCACATTTGTCTGGATCTTTTGATATCATCTAATTTGTGGCCAGATCTAGATCGGCCTTGTGAATTCGTTACGGTTTGGTAGATCTTGTCTCCGTAGTGGATTACCGGATAGATCATGGTCAGATGTTAGTTTTTTATTTTCTTTTTCAGTCATAAGCAAATGGCAAGATCAAGTGACAGATTCTTTTGAAGCTTGTGCTCGAATCATTACAACCTGCATTGGTTTTATCAATTTTATTCGTCAAATTTCTCTTATATATGTATCAGGGGTTGGTTGCCCATGCTTGTATCCACGTGTCTAATTTTACAGTTTAGTTTTCCTTTTGCTATCCACATTAGATAATGAAATGCCATGTTTTCATGATATAAGTCTATCACATGGGGATACCTTTTGAGATCTAATGTCATTGAGTTTTGCAAAATTCAGGTGCTGTTCCCCTTTTTCTCTTATATCTTTTCCATTTTCTTCTTTTAGAGATATCTTGTAGATGGCTATGAAGCTTTTCGTTGCAAAACTGCACTGTTTGTTGTCTGTATAAAAACCTTCTAAGTTAACCTTTTCATTCAAAGCCGTATTATTTTCACAATAAATATATTGATCCTGGATTTTTGGACTTTCAGACACAATTATGGGGTTATCTTTCACCAAGCTCTTTAGTCGGCTGTTTGCGAAGAAAGAGATGCGCATACTGATGGTTGGTCTTGATGCTGCTGGTAAAACAACCATTCTGTACAAGCTCAAGCTGGGAGAAATAGTCACTACAATTCCCACCATTGGTAAGCTGTATGAAGTTAGAGTTTCCACTAACAACTTCCTGTAGAATTTATGCACCAGTTTAGCTGGATGAACTCGTGTTTGAATCAATATGGAACTTCTCCAACATTTGATTTAAGCCTTAATTTCTTTGTTATAATTTATTATTATGATATTGGTTTTGAAACTCATATACGTTGTGGTCAGGATTTAACGTGGAGACTGTGGAATATAAGAACATTAGCTTTACTGTTTGGGATGTTGGTGGCCAAGACAAGGTACACAAAATTCATAGTTCGTACATAGTAGCTCCCTTTCATGAGTGCTGTCTTCAGTCTCATGCCAAGTGGGATAATATATTCCTCTATCTTTTGATTATTTTTTAGGACACAGTAGGCAGCTTATACCTTGCAGTTCTATAATTTGATTTTGCTCTTCAAAGTTTTGGTTTATTTCTTTTTTTTTTTTTGGTTTCTAACTGTAATTCATATGAAAACATGAATAGTTGGATCCCCTGGATTTGGCAAATCCACTTAAAAGTTTGTCTTCTTTTCACTTGATTAATTGAGCCATGGATTTTTCTTCCCCAGATCCGCCCTTTGTGGAGACATTACTTCCAAAACACTCAAGGACTCATCTTTGTGGTAGATAGCAATGACCGTGATCGTGTGGTTGAGGCAAGGGATGAACTGCACAGAATGTTGAATGAGGTTGCAGAAAGCCCTAGCACTTTTTGATACTTGCACACATCTTCTAAGATTCTTTCACTAGCATTTTATTAGCCAGTTCATCTCACGGTGTTCGTGCAATGATTTAGAATTTGTTGTCCTTGCCAGGATGAATTGAGGGATGCTGTGCTGCTAGTTTTTGCCAACAAGCAGGATCTTCCAAATGCAATGAATGCTGCTGAGATAACTGACAAGCTTGGACTTCATTCTCTTCGCCAACGCCACTGGTTCTCTCTCTCTCTCTCTCTCTCTCGTGCAAAAGAACATGCAAGGATTTACTGGACATCATCACTAGTCAGGCTGAACCCCACTGAGTTCAAATATATTGTGCATTTCAGGTACATCCAAAGCACTTGCGCTACCTCTGGTGAAGGTCTCTATGAAGGGCTGGACTGGCTTTCAAACAACATTGCAAACAAGGTGGGCCCATGTAGTTAATGAAATAGTAACATATCCAAGTGTCAAGTTTAGATCTATGTTCTTTTAAGAGATTTTGATTCTATATTGTTTATTGGGTTTGTTGTTTGTTTGATGCAATTGCAGGCATAGGCAACTTGATTTGAGACTGAATTGTGAGGGGCAGCAGAACAGACTTCTGATCTTTGTTTGTTTATTTGTTTTGGAAATCTGTAGCTTCTGAATATTTCCTAAATTTTTTATTATTCGTGAATCTGTTTTTCTTTGGTATGTGATGAACACTGGTGCTGAATTCTGATGTTTATTTGAGGTTACCGATTATTATTGAGTAGTGAAATGAGAGTAAAAACCAACAGCAAATGTTTGATCTTACAAAAATGACATTACATGTTTTCTGATTCTTGCTTTTCAAGAATATGCAAAATTGAGTGCCATAAAGAATATTAGGCCCAAGAATATGACACGTGACAGTGGAGGATCCTTATATTGTTCTCTCGTAGAGTAAACAGCATCATGACTTGGGCTGATGCATATGGAATGCTTCTGTTATGACTTTGCCGACTCTACAGTCTGTGCAACTCGGTGTACATAAGCTTCTTAAGGCTGTTTCTGAAATCTAGACTCCCCCTCATATTTTTTCGTTTTATTGGATGCTGCCAGATGGAAGACACATAAAATCAAGTATATAATTCGGTTCCTCTGTTAATTGAGAGAATAATTAAACTAGAATTTGACAGTGTTTAATTCTGTGTTATATCTGTTATGGTTTTGAGATGGTATGAGATGTTTGTTTTCCCATAACCCTGGAATGCTGTCTCAGTATACTCTTGCTTACCAACTTCATAGGAGAGACAGTTCAAAGTTACGATTGGAAGGTATGTGTCCGTTAGCTGTTTTTTTCCGGAAGGTAATGTTTCCGTTAGTTGAAAAACAAAAAAAAAATTCAGAAAAGCAATGAAAAAGTGGTATATTAATATAAGCAAATGGTAACTACCGGAAAGAAATTATTTTAACTCAGCTAATTATGCTTTTTTTCTTTTACAATTTTAACAATCACTTCTTCTTTCTATAGCAACAAAACAGTTTCTATAATTAATTGAATTGTTAAATATGTATCTGTTCTGGTGATTTTTGGCACAATGGTGAGATAAAAACATTTTGATTGACACTCGAGGGTTGCTTTGCAATATGAAAGTGACGAAAGACTTGAGAAACACAGAGAAAGATTAGAAGGGAGGCTGGAGATGTATCTAGAGATTCCCCTCCGATGTTTAAGTTAGTGTTTCAAGAACAAGTGAGACAATGTTCAGTTTTATGCTTGAAGAAGTGCTGTGTATACCTCTCTTTTAATTAAGAGTGTTATTTATACCTTCATGTTAGATAGACATTTTTATCGAGGAAACCTTGTATGATTCCTCTAGGTGGGAGGCTTTTTGATGGTTAATCCCTAAGACTACAAGGATGTCTTGCTGACTTTATCAGGTGGCTGGGCATCGAGCTAATTTCCTCTTTGACCTCGATTCCTGATCCTTTTATGCGCGTTCACAAGAAGCGCATTAATGACATTAATCCTTTGGCATCCGAGTCTTTGCCGATTGTTAACCGCAAGATATAATGTTGAAGAACTCCCTTGTAGTAATAAATGTCTAATACTACTCAGCACACCGAGAGGTAAATGCTTTGTACCCATTCTCCTCCAAGCATAAATTAATTGTCATATGTTCATGAGGAGCATTTATTACCTGTTGTCATAGTTTTAAGGATCTTTTTCATGATTGGCTGCAGTGTGTCATCATACCTTAACTTGATTTGACAGTAATAAAATAATGGACTCACACTGATTGACAATTGAGTATGAATCCTCGTAAATCGTTTTTCTCGTATATTCCTAAGTAGAAATTCACAATGCATTCCTGACGATCATAGTTCCTCGAGTGATGTCATATACGGTGATATCACCTTCAAGAGGACTCATCCATTATTACAACTTCTCCCCCAAACGACGTCACATTATCTCGAGTGACATCACCCTCGACAAGACTTTGTCGTCCTTTTATTGTCGTCACTTTTAATAATACATAAATTGGGTTTGTACACCACCTATCAGATAAGCAGTAATAAATGCAGTAATTAAGAGAGACACAAGTTAGACAAAGTTTATAGTGGTTCGGTCAACGTGACCTACGCCCACTTTGAATGACTAGGATCAACGAGTATTTTATTATTTCAAGTGCGCAGAGAGAGCAGAGAGTTACAAGCTTTGAGAAGGAGAGGAGAGTTGTGCTTGACTGAGTGTGATACCCTCCAAGTGTTGACGGGATTTACAATTTATAGTCGCTTTATAACAGATTTGGGCGAGATATTAGTAACTAAGTGGCTAGTCTGTTAGATCTGACAACCTCTTCTCAACGGGCGAGGCGATTATGGTGCTCTCCATGAAATTCGGTCAAAAGATGATGTGGGGAATTGACCCTTTTCAAGGTGGCGTGGATGAGGCTCTTGGATGACCCTACATGCTCCCCTGCTGATGTAGCTCCTCGAACCTGATGAGCTTGACCAGACGTGGACCATTTTGGGCTAAATTTGCTGGATCTCTTAGAGTTGGACTATTAATTTAGATTGGGCTTATAACATGAGTTGGGTCCGTGGGCTTGACCCATCATTTGCCTCCCTAATGCCCTACGTCCAATGGAATTCAGAGAGGAGGACATTCAGTTGAGTTTGAATTATCGGCTAAACGTATCACTGAAAAAATTTGGTGGCCAAAACATATATTTTTAGACCTTTTTTGGGATTTTAACAGCGTCTGTTATAGCTAAAGGTAGTGAGTCTTGTAGAGCTCGCCGATAGCTTTTATTTGATATATTATGGGTCATATTTGGAGCAACGGATCAAAAGTTGCGGTCAAAATAGCGATCAACCCATCTTGAACTCGAATTTCTTGAAGACTCCTTTTGATTGGTGAGTCCTTCCCTTCCTGTAGACTCCTTTTGCCTGTGGGACACCCTTAGTTATATAAACTCCCTCCTTTACTTCCCTTTTTGGATTCTTGAATAGCCCTAGGTTATAAATTAGGCCTTTTTGCTTTCCTTAATAGGCTTTTTAAAACCCTAGACTATAAATAGGAAACTTCTCCTTCATTTTACCCATTCCATATAACTTTGAGTGAGGAAGGTAGAGCTCTTCTTGAATTCTTCCAAGAACACATAGGTGAGATATTTTGAGTTTGAGCACTTTGATCAATGTCGACTGGAGACGAGTTTGTGAACTTTGGTGGAGAGCCAGGAGAAATTGGAGTTGTCCTTAGAGAGGAGAGGGAGACAGATGGCGCTAGAGTAGAGGCGCTAGGCGCCCGCTATCCGTGCAGCCGAGACAAGGGGGAAAAGGCTGGTGGGCGAGCAGGGCAAACGGTCTAGGCCGTTGTTCGGGTGTTGCCCAGCACCACCCAAGGAGTGTCGAATGGTAGGCAAGCTACTCAGTTAGGCGAGGGGCGAACATCCCTTGTGGTCCGCGATGGGCAAGCAGCCCTTGTGGTCTGCGATGGGTGAGCAGCCCATGAGGTTAGCTAGCAAATTGGGCGCATGGAGGAGGCGCTGCTATGCGCGCGAATGAGACCAGTGTTGGTGGGTGAGCAGCCCATGTGTTCAATGAGCAGATTAGGCGCGTGGAGGAGACTGGGGGTGCCCAGGCCGAGGCGACCCAGGTGAGCGTGGAGCCTTTGGGCGAGTTGAGCAATGACGTAGGTGAGGGATGGCCAGGGCATGGAGGAGGAGCTTCTAGGCACTGGGGTGAGCACTGATGGGCTCCCAGGCACTGTTGTGCACGTGGATAGGGCGGGCAGAGAAGCCTTTGCTATGCTCGGGACTGCTGGGCGCACAACACAAGAGACGATAACTCTGGGCACTTTTCATGGTGATGAGCCTGGTAGTGGCTCAGGCAACCCTTCACGCCCTCACAACAAACAATACTGGAGAGTTTTGTTGTGCTTTCTGGTATTGTGGAGGAAGGTGCATCATGAGGATGCCTCTCCTAACGAGTTTCATACAACTTATACTTTGAGCGAGACTCCTGCTCCCAGTCAAGGTTATTACTATTTTACTACGAGAGGCAAGTTGATTACTGGATTGCGCTCCAACTGTTATAGCTAGAAGTCTCGCTTCATATTTATTGGCTGAGAATGGGCTTTAGAGGCCGATAAGGCTTTGGTATCAACAAGATGGGGTACCCCTAAGAAATTTGGTATGCCCTACACTTACTTTCTATCCTTTACTTTGTGTTTTTCATCTAGATAACATTTTATTTCCTTTGTAGTGGATATAATGGTGGTTAGGTCCTGCCTCTCTAGTAGGAGCACTCCTTTTCCTAAGGTGGCGAGAATGAGCGATGCCCCCTAAGTAACCTCTCTAACGGTGCCACCTGAGGTGAGCTCTCCTCAAGTAACCCCTCCAATGATGTCTCGAGTGGGTTCCCCTCAAGGGACACCTCCCGTGATGCCTCCTTTGTTGGCAACTCCTTCTGTTGTGAGCACTCTAGAGACTCCCCTGTCGACCACACCTTTTTCCCTCATTCGTCCACTCATCCTGTGGGAACTTCTATAGGGGCACCGATTCAGACTAGTCCCATGCTGGGCAACCCACGAGTCATCAGGGAAAGACTTGGGAGGTTTGTGTTTCTGCCCAAAGTTCATGAGATTAGTACTCTGGGCATTGAAGGAATGATCAACTCATTTGTGGAAGGCCTGACTCAGGTAATGGTCTACTATTTTCCTTTCTCCAATCCTTCCCTATACATTTTGTCATTCCTCTGTCTTTTTCCTTTTTTATGCTACAACTGCATCTATATGTTTGTTTTCAAGAGCCCATTTTTATAGCGAGCTAAAGCTTAGTCATGAGGCTGTAAAGAAGGAGCTTCTCACTGCTTAGGGGAGGATTGTTGAGTTTGAAATTGCTGATAAGGCTTCTCAGGCTGAGCTTGTAGTGACCTATGAGAAAGCCGCGCTCAAGAAGGCTGCCTGTTTGAGAGCGGAGACAGAGCTTTCAGCAGCTCATGAGAGGGCGGCTAAGCTTGAGGCTGAGCTTTCGGTGACCCGTGAGAGGGACACGCTTAGAGAGGCTGAGCTTGTGGAAACCCGCGAGAGAGCTATGCTTAGAGAGGCTGAGCTTATGGACGCCTGCGAAAGGGCCATGCTCAGAAAGGCTGCCTGTTTGAGAGTAGAGGCAGAGGTGAAGGCAGTTCACGAGAGACCTTCTCGGGCTGAAAAGAGGGTAGTCATAGCTGAGAGTGATTTGGAGAATGGTTTTGCAGATGCCTTTATTGATGGTTATGAGGAGCTTCGAGCAAAGATTTCTGTTGCTGTTTCTGATATTGATATTTCAGGCTTCCTGCCATCTGAGGCGCCTGATGATGGTGATGGAGGATCTGACGATGTTGAGAG